GCCCCAATTACAGACAGTGTCAACGCGGGGGCCGACAGAGTGACGTGAGCCAGACAAAGCGGCTTCAAGCTGGACTAGCATACTATGCACGCAGAAGAAACGAGCGGCATATAGCGAGAGCCAGGGGCAAGAATATTCACTGTCTGAAGATGGACAGACGAGGTATTTATCCGAAACTTCAGGTACCAAATAAACCTCTCCCGGTGAACGCTCTTTCTCCTTCCGACTCCAGTAAAAGCTCCACTGACTACTTTCTTCGTGGTGTGTATAAGTAAGGAAGACGGAATTATCGCTCACCAGAATAAGGGTTTGATTCGACTATATAGATCGCGTGCCTAAACTGTCCTGAAAACAACACAGCATAGACTGGATGCATGCTTGAATCGCGCATACACGAGCATAAGCTGCCTGTGAGACGGGGTGACGGAGTATGACAAGTGGCTGCCCACGAAAATGATTGTCTGAGCCTGAAGCGAAACAAGCCTGGGCTCGAATATACTAGCGGAAAAAGGCCAAAAAATGACTCAGGAACCTAATCGCGCAGGTTCGAAATGCATTTACGCTGCTAGCCAGACCACTCTTTTCTCACCAGCTTACGTACTACGCTGTTGATATAGAGAGCATCAATCAGACCAGTGTTGGCTGGCTAGTAGCCCTTGTTGGATCAGGAATCCCACCGGATTGGCCTAAATCCCGGCGGCGAGGAGGAGGAGTCGAAGCAGCATGGTCGGGAGGGGCTGCTCCGTCCTCAAGACAGAGACGGAGAGGAGGGGAGATAGATCCACCCTAGGGAGACCGGTGTTAGTATATGCTTGCGAAACATGGCCTGTCAGAAAGGCAGACATCCTATTTCTCGAAGGTTTTGACCGTTAGTGTCTTCGACGCCTCTTAGGAGTCTTCTGTCGGAATCGACTGTCCAATGTCCAGCTATATAGCAGGTATTTCGAACTACCAAGTCTAGCATCATACGTCCAGCTTCGCCGATTTCAGTGGTTTGACCATGTCTCGCGCAAGCCATCGACGGATCTCTGCAGATTGGCCATGAGTCCCTCTCGTAGTGCAAACTGGAGATACCGACATGGCGGTCAACTGAAGAAGGGGCTCAACACTGTCACATCAAACGCGTGGGCCTCGTAACCGTTTACGGCTTGCGACA